ACACAAAAATATACTCCGTAAACTAGTGCGTAAGTGTAAACATAAACTAAGAAAAAATATAATTATACAAAAGGGAGGGGCTTTCTTACCAGTAATATTAGGTGCAATATTGAGTGGATTAGTGAGTGTACTAGCCAGTTAACAAGGAAAATGCAAAAAAAATGATACTTATCGAACCTGGGTTGATTGAAAAATTAAAACAAGATAATAAGGTTAATAGTAATTTATCTCGATGAGATATTGAAATGCAAAATATTATGAATAGTAAGACGGAAGACCGAAAGAAATGGATGTTATATTTACAAACACTGCAAAGATACCTTCATTTTACCGAAGAGGATCGTCAACCACTCAGATTACCAATTTATTATGATACATCTAATAAAGATTCAAATGAGTCTAAAATTGGTTTTAAAAATAAAGATAGAGATCTAAAAACTTCAGTTGATGCTGAATCTTTGTTGGAGGAGAATCGATCCATTAAAAGTAAAGAAAATGATGAAAATCAACTTTACACACCAGCTCAAATACTCAGTTTAATACCAAAAACTTATAATAAAAAAGGACAGTTATTATTAAACTTAGTTGAAACAAGTAAAAGTAAAATACATTGGGATGATGAAGGTACAGTCATAATTGATAATGAAAAAATTCCTGGAAGTAATATTACATAAAATATAACATAACATAAACACTCACGCCTGTCACCCAGAGGGGTAGGCAGAGACTACAGACTTCCATTTGGCACGATCCTGACACACCTCTCTCGCCTCCTTCACATCCATATACCTACGCATACATGCTCGTCGGTGAAGGGTACTCCTAATTTTGCCCGTTTTCAATAAATTGTCAATTTGGTCGATAAATTTTTGCCTAGGACGTTCCTTTCCGACTCTGCCATTCACTTCTGCAACATAAATTTTCTTTGTCACTCTTTCCTCATTCATTCTTTCCACATGACCAAACCACCGAAAACATTGGAAGTAATATTGTTGATTTAATAAATGATTCACTAAGACCCTTAAAAAGAAGTGATCCAGTAGGGTGGAATAGATTTGCTGAAGCATTAAAAGATATTAAAGTACCACTTACTTATATTGGAAATCTAGAGAGATGTGAGTTTATTAACCAACTTCAAGCAAAAGATCTTAATAAACCCTCTGAGATTGAAGTTCAAGAGTTTTCTACACCGAGCAGTAGAGATAAAAAGTCTACAACTAAAATACGTAAAAGGCTTGAGTGGGAAAAATGGACCTCGTACTAGAAGAAATTAACAGGATTTATTATGATCCATCTAATCCCACTGGTTTTGGTAGTATTGATAAATTATCAAAAGCCATGAAGGGTAAAATGAATAAAAAGCAAGTAAAGGAATGGTTAAAATCACAAGAATGTTTCTTGTGATTTTAACCATTCCTTTTGCACATTACATAAACCCATTTCGAAAAAAATTCTCGCGTAATGTACCTATTACTTCTATCAAATATTAATGAACTGTGGCAAGCTGATTTAAGTGATATGCAAACTTATTCTCAATATAATGATGGTTTCAAGTATATACTTTGTGTTATTGATGTATTTAGTAAATATGTTTTTGCAAGACCAATGAAAAAGAAAAACTCAGAAACAACTAAAGAATATTTTGAAAGTTTATTTACTGAAAGTAATTTTACACTTACTCACATACAATCTGATAAAGGTACAGAATTTGTTTCAAAAGATGTACAAAAATACTTTAAATCCAAAAAGATTAATTACTATACCACTAACAATCCTGACACTAAAAGAAAACGATTGACCTCGTTCATTCCACCATTAACTGCTAAAGTGAAAGCTGCGAAAAAACTTGGTCTAAAACCAAAAAAAATATCAAAGATATATTTTCAAATTAAATATGTCTTTCCTTCATAATAATTCTTGCGAGTGCGTTGTCAGAATTGGATTTGTTTGCACTACCGTCTACACAAACTAGCATTGAAAATGGATTGTGAATTCATTATAAACCAATATCATCTCTTGGTGATGATGGACCTATCGAGTTTCAAGTTCTTGGGACAGGCGATGACTACATAGATTTGTCTCATACGTAATTCCACATAAAGGCAAAAGTATTAAATCAAGATTCAACTAACTTGATATCTACTACAATAGCCTACAAATACAACTACAATACCTGTAAATAATTGGCTGCATTCACTTTTTAGTCAACTTGATGTTTATTTAAACCAAAAACTTGTATCACCATCTAATAATACCTATGAATATCGAGCATACATGGAAACCCTTTTAAACTATGCTCCTGCTGCTAAACAATCTCATCTTACTTGTAGTATTTGGTATGACGATACAGCAGGAAAAATGGATTCTACAGATGGTAAAAAATAGGATTTGTTAAAAGACAGGAATTGATGAGTGAAAGTAAGGAAATAGAAATGATTGGTCATCTTCACGGTGATATTTTCAACCAAGATAAATTTTTAATTAAAGGTGTTGAAATGAGTGTTAAATTCGTTCGATCAAGAGAGAGTTTTAATTTAATTGCTGGGTCAAACGATGTAAAGTTTAAAGGTTGCATTACGGACGCAACTCTTATTGTTCGACGAGCACGAATTAATCCAAGCGTATTACTCGCACATCAAAAAATTTTAGCTTCTACCACTGCTAAATATCCTATTATTCGAGCTGAAGTAAAAGTCTTAACAATCCATCGGGTGTTCAAGGAAAAACTCTTGATAATATATTTTTAGGACAGGTACCCAAAAGATGTATAATTGGATTTGTGAACAATTCTGCATTTAATAGTTCCCTTACTAAAAATCCATTTAACTTTGAAAACTATGGTATTAATTCTTTCAGCTTATATATTGATGGTCAACAAATACCTTCAAAAGCTTTGCAACCATCTTTTAATAATAGTATATTTACATCAGCATATCATACTCTATTCTCAGGAACTGGTATTCACTTTCTTAATGAAGGAAATGGAATCTCTTGTGAACAGTATGCCGAAGGTTACTGTCTATTAGCATTTGACTTAACTCCCGATTTATCAGCCAACTCATCAGCTCATTGGAATCTCATAAAGCATGGTAGTGTAAGATTAGAAGTACGATTTGAATCCTCACTAATACTAACAATTAACTGTATAGTTTATGCTGAGTTTGATAATATTATTGAGATTGATAAAAACAGAAATGTTACTGTAGACTATAGTAGTTAAGGTTATAATATGTGTTGTGTGTTAGATTTTATGTGTTATGTGTAATGCATTTTGTGTGTATGCAAATTGTATGCAATATATTATTTTTTATTTCTTTATAAATCTTCTATTTAACCTAATACAAAACACTGTTCGAGATTAAAGTTACATCGGACTCTCTCATTAGATCATCAATAATAACAAGATGTGCGTTTTCACCATCAAACATATTAGATTTGGAATTCCTTGATGATAGTTAACATTTGGTAAATTATATAAAGGTTGCATTTCATCAAAGCACCATGTGATCTGATTAAAATCACAATTACATATTTCTGTAACTGATTTTATGAAATTTGTTACAAAATTTGACTTCTCACATCCACTTGGTCCTGCCACAATAGCAGTAAACGGATGTATAAAGTGAAACATTAAACACGTCTAAATTTATAAGGGGTAAAATAAAAAATTAAAGTGTTTGTGTAAACAATTAATATATATTGTGTACTATAACTGTTGTTTTTGGGAAATCAAACAAAATTTATGATTAATTTAAAATTTTATTTTCAAGCAATAACCACTCGTAAAAAACTCACACTTCATCACAAGAACAATGTAAAATTTTGTGATTATTTTTTGCAAATATATGATTATTACATACATAACGTTTGTTTAAATTTATGACATTTACCAAATCATTGTATTTTGGACATTTGTATTCTTCAATATTAAAAATTCTATCATTCGTCGTCAACATTTTTAAAAATTGTTTTTCTACTGAACCACCTTTGTATGCGATCACTTCGTCTTTGCACAAATTTCTAATGTACCAATTTAATATGGGAATGATGTTCTCTTCTTCGTAGGCACTGGATCTGGATGAATAGATTATTTAATCTTTGAGGAGTGGTTGGAAAGACATTTTATTCCACACATTGATAAGCAAGATAGCAAAAAGGTATTATTGTGCGACAATCTTAGCGCCCACATATCACCAATAGCATTACGTCTTTGCAATGAACATAAAATCACGTCCATTTGCTTAATACCGAATTCAACCCACCTATTGCAACCGCTAGATATGGGTTATTTTTCTGTCTTAAAAACTGCATGGAGGAAAGTTCTCAATGATTTCCGACAGACTAGTATAGGAAAAAAGGTACATGCACTGCCAAAGCCTCTCTTTGGCCAGCTGCTTAAAAAATCTCTAGATAATATTGAAGGTACAACGTCTGATAATGTGAAAGCGGGATTTCGGAGCTGTGGCTTACAACCAATTCCACCTTCTACCGTTTCGAAAAAATTACTGACGTACACGTCTCAGGCAGATGTCTGCAATTCCGTTGGTACACGTTTCATAAACTACATAGAAGAATTACGGCAAGGAGATCTGAATGTGAAAAAAGGAAAAAAATTCAATTACCGGTTACGGCGGCGAAAAGTGTTTCGGCTGAGGAGGTCGAAAAATATTATGAAGGAAGAGGCAATACAACTAAAAGTAAAGAACAAAAGGGAGATGAAAGCAACGCGCAATCCAGGAGAAAAGGACGACCTCTGGGTTCTAAGAACAAAAATAAGAAGAAGGTTACTAATGATATAGAAGAAGAAGAAATAAAGATCTTCACAGTGACCAGATTAAGAATGGAGAAGTAGAAGATACAAGTACTGAAAAAAATAGTGATCATAAGTCAGTAAAAATTTGAAGAGTAGTAATAGTAATTGAAGCTTCAGTTCAGCAGCACCTCCTAAACTCGCCAAGACATCTGCTGGTGAAGTAAGCAACGTTTTTGAAAATCAAATCATGGCAGAATATATGATCCAGGAAATAGAAGTTAAAAATGAAGAAAGCCCTGACTTAGACATAGGTAGGAAAGTGATTTTAATGGATGGAGAAATTATAGAAGAATATATAGTATATGAGACAAGTAGTGATTTAAAGGGCGTGATGACTGAGAAGTGTAAAATAAAAGAAGGTACATATTGTGTCTTTAGAGAAGAGAGTAGTTCGTTCCCAGGAAGGATACAAAAAGTTAGACCCTTACAAGTCTCTGCGCTCAAAAAAACTTTTTAGGAGGTTGGTTTTGGCCCTCTAAAGCTAACATATGTCAAATCGATAAGGCCAATGTAATAAGTGTTTAACAAGAGCAACAGTTATCTAAAAAATGCGGCCAACTTTTTATTGAAAATAGATTTTATTCGTGCAATGACTTTAAATAAAAATTTCTTTGAATTTTATTTTTGACCTTTGTTACCATTGAATCGAATTGTGAAACGAGTAGCCGAAGCTCTTGATATTGACCGCAATACTGTTTCGCGTATAACACGTGAGAAAATTGACCAAGAAGGGATGTATGAAAATAAATTATCGACACCCAACAAAAAACAGACCAAGGTGAAGCCAATCACAGATTTAGATGATTTTGCTAAGGATGCTATTAGAAATCATATTTATGATTATTATAGAAGAATGGAGCTGCCCACTTTGCTCAAGCTTCTAAAATCATTGAAAGGAGCAGACTTGTTCATGGGAGGTATTACTTCGTTGCGGCAAGTTATAAAAGATATTGGCTTTGTTTACAAAAAAGTTAACAAAAGGACAAAAGGAACATTACTATGGAGAGCACTGACATTGTCCTAGCAAGATGTACATTTTTAAGGAAAGCCAAAAACATAAGTGATTGGAGCAACGTTGTCTTTTTGGATGAAACGTGGCTAAACGCCAACCACACAGTGGGTGAAACTTGGAACGACGATACGGCACAATCGTGTACTAAAGTGCTGGAGGGCAAAGGCGAAAGCTTTATTATTTGTCACGCTGGTACAGCAAGTGGATTCGTTCCTAATTGTTTGCTTTTAAGACAATAACAGCTACGGAGTATCATGAGGAGATGAACCACGAAAAATTCAAAGATTGGTTCATGGGTCTATTAAATAATTAAAAAGAGCCTATGATTATAATAATGGACAACGCACCGTACCATTCGGTACAAGTTAATAAACCCCCAAACCAATCCAATCGCAAAAGCGAGTTGGTGAAGTGGCTGAGTGAAAACGGAGTTACAGCAGATATAAAAATGTTAAAGAGCTTATTGCCTTAGTCCGGCGTCATAAGCCACCAACTCCTACCTATGCTATAGACCAGATGGCAAAAGAAAAAGACCACCAGGTCCTTCGACCACCACCCTAGCATTGCCAGTATAACACCATTGAGCTAATTTGGGCCGAAATAAAAAGTATGCTTCTAATTTCAATTCCCATTTTGAAGCTTTATAAAAAATCAGCTTTCCGAACGTAGCATGTAGTTTAAAAACATTACTGGATACTAGATTAGATGTATTTCAAGTGTAATTTTTAGCATTACCTATGAAATAGTTGATTATTTGATTGAATGATTGATTGAATTGAAATAATTTTTATTCATAAGTCCGTTTATTTTTAGATCACGCCGCAAGAAATAATACTTCGCCGCCATTTACGGCAAATAAGATGTTAGCCCTACTACAAGAGGCTATCAATAATGTTCAACGTGAAGACTGGTTGAAGGTCGTGAATAAAACAAAAAGGGATATTATGTATGATTGGGATCGTGACATCCATATTGACAACATAATGGAGTCATCGTTGATAATATCCGTCACAGATTCAGATTATGAATTTAATAACAATTTAGATGTTCCTGACTCTGCAACCTTTTAAGTAGCCTTACCCTATATGTGTTCCGTTGTTTCATTTACATAATTATAAACTTTTTAACAATAAAAATGAACTACGCACAATATACATTTTTTATTATAAAAGACATCGACTAACTATCGTTGCAGTATATCCCATCACTAAATACGTCTATGGTGTTACGTTATACGCATACAACTTTGCTTAAGTTTTCTTTCAATTTGATTTTATTTGTAGACTAGAAGATTCTGGCTGGGTTAAATTCAAGTTATTAATGATTTATTATGTGGTACAGCTGAAATACTAAGTCATAATTTGTAAATCGCGGCAACTTTCAAGAGAAACGAAACCTCTGTCTACGAACGAAACGTTACTGAAACTGTCACCCGCACTATGCTACAGCGCGCGTAGTGTAGGCTACGTAGTGTAGAGGTAAGGAGAACAATCTCTCATAGGAGAATAGTGGAAAAAGTGTCCATCTGTAAGAAATAGATTTGTAAATCGCGGCAACTTTCAAGAGAAACGAAACCCCTGTCTACGAACGAAACGTTACTGAAACTGTCACCCGCACTATGCTACAGCGCGCTAGTGTAGGCTACGTAGTGTAGAGGTAAGGAGAACAATCTCTCATAGGAGAATAGTGGAAAAAGTGTCCATCTGTAAGAAATAGATAAACAGTTCAAAAACTCTCCACAGGAAATAGCTACATGAAATGAACTTAGCAGTTGTCGACGGTGTGAAGTGTGCTGCTAAACTGCTCAGTAGCTCTAAAATCTAAAATAATTTTATTTAGTAAATGTAACCTCGAAAAAGTCGTCTCTCCCACTAATATTTTTCAGCGCGTTCTTTAAAATTTACCCCATAGCTGTAGTGGCACCACCCTTATTAGGCTTTTTAATAAAAATACGTCATATAGTTTTACCCAAACGTTAAAATATTATATTAATAGTACAGTAAAATTAGAATTTAACTTTGCACTAAATTTCCGATCTAATTTTATTTATTTATAAGGTTTAGGATCACTTACTGAGCATAAAATCACAAAATGCAGACAGATCCAGGTGGCGCTTCAAGTGCCATCTTGAAAAAACGTTTTCAGCCGATATCTCGGAAACTATGCACTTTAAGGCAAACATTATGCAGACCATTATTGTAGAAAATAAAATTTCGCATCTTTTGTTTCCAGTAAACTTTTTTGTAAAACTTACCATTTACGATTTATGGCCCATTTAATGAACCGGTTTTTCTATCGCGGCCAATAACTCTTGAAATATTAGATCAAGTGGCAGCGACTGATTACTACGCAGCGTACGCATCAGTTAATGTTCACTCCATTCAAAGGTCGCGTTCATTATACTTACATTGGAAGGTCAACTCTTTTACAGATTTAAAAATAAATTAAATAAATAAATAAATCTTTATTGATCAACAAAAAAATTTTACAATGATCTTTTTGATGAGATTGCTTCCAGCTTTTGTATATGTTTATGAATATATCCATGAATTCCTTAAAAAATAAATAACAACAGTAATAATGCGATACCGTAGTAGCACAGGGGCTGAGAACGGTTCGATTCAGGCTGGCACAATTTAAAAGCTATATCACAACTAGCTGTGCCCGCGACTTCGTTCGCATGGAATTTCTAATGTTTTAAGTTTTATTTCTTGGGACTGTTGATTAAACTATATCACTGTTTCAACTCCATCATTTAGGTACCTATTGATAATTTTAGTCATCAATTTCAATTTCATCATTAAACCGATTAAGTGCATGGAAGATTTCAACACGGAGGATGTCGTATCCGTTCAATATTATATTTAAATGAAACTAAGCAACGTAGATTCGTACGAACTCTAATTTATAAAAAATAAGGAGGGAACGAAAGTTCGTTTGCTGTATAGTAACGGCGTAAATGAATCCATCACTACTATACGTGCATCATCACACCTTCCGAGGTGTAGTAAGAGACGACAATGGGAAACTCCAGAAAAATGTAACGGCTTTCGATATATGGTGCTATAAACAAATCGGTTCCGTCAGAGCCAGACATAAAATACCCTGACGGGGGTATGTAATTCGTACCCAGACTGGCCACGAACGTCAAAGATGAAAGTGTGTTGCGAAGTTGCGATCATCAATTTGTTTGCAAACCGAGAAAATTATAATAAATCATTCCTGAAGTGGGAGAGGTCCTTGTCTTGCAGCAGACATTCACGGGCTAATGATGAAGGATAGAAGAATTGATAATTTTTGCGTTATAAAGTAATAAGACAAAACTCTGAGACCCTCCAAACTTTAGAATAACGCGACCGTCTCTGACACACTCCACACTTCGGATCCACTTGAAAGTCGCTTTGTTAATTTTCATTGCAAAGTGTTACATTTTAAGCGAATTTGTAGGACAAAACACCTCCTCATCTTTATCATAACCAATGTAAATATCTATGTTTAGCACATTCTTTTAATGAAAAACTAATTTGAGCAGTTTACCATAGTAAAGATTTGGAGCCAAGCGAAGAAGTAGCGATACAAACTAAATTTCCATTACAGCCTGTAAAAGTCTACTGCTGAACACAGGCCTCCTCCATATATGTCCTCACAGGGGGAAGTTTATTATAAAATGAACTGGACGATTTATTAAAAAAAAATTGCTTTGAAAAATTGGTTATTAATAATGTGATGAATTCTACCCAATTCAAAAAACAAACCCTGTCAGAAATATGAAGATGAACATAGGTCTCTCGTATAGATAGCGTCATGGGGGGATATTTGCCATTGTTGCCACGCTTGGCAAGCGACCTCGCAGCCGCATTTTAATTTTAGTCGTTATTGTTAGGAAGACCCTGCTGCCCATTTCCTTGTTGTTTCCTCTGTTACCTCTAATGACACCCATGGGATGCTATGTTATAGTGGATATTCTTACACCGCCACTACTCGGGTAAAAGATTGTACAGCTTATATCTTTGACTAGATTGATATTCTAGCTATACATCACAATGTCTTTACGATTAATAAAAAACAAACATAATAATATTTACATTGCTGCGAGAGTTCAACTGACTGATTCAGGGTGAATCAACTGGAGCGTATTGGAACAGCCCGACAGAAATGTATCCAGATCAGAATTCATGATCAATGCTTCACGATCCTAGAACGCGGCTATTGTCTCCATACGATCCACTGGCGGAGAATCTTAGCACCGCAATTCAGAAAAGGATTCATTTATGCAAAGCCATCTGCTACGTTTATCAGAAAACATATTTTTTTAGAAAAACACATTGAAGTAATATGTACTTACGTACTAGAACAGCAATCTCAAACAAAAAAATGTGCGCTACTCTGTGTTCGTGCGGTTGTTTTTTTATCATAGAATAAACATAGATAGAATGATCCGTAGGTAATAGTAGATTGTATTGTTAAATAGGTAAATTATATCGAGAACAATATTTAAATTTTGTCATTTTTTTGTATATTATATTTGATTATTTAATATAATATTACATAATATTATATCACAATTACATTTTAATGATATTTTTATCAGAATGTTTTAAAAGTTATCCATGTCAAATATAAAAAAATACTAAATGTATGTTTAACAAAACTTATTAACATAACATTTAAATTACAAATATATTTATTTAAATTAGAATAAGAGTGCGAGAGGTAAAAATGGACGAATTTATACCACTTTGACTTTGATGTGGAAACCTAAAAATAAAATAAAAGAATAATAAGCAGATTTAAACATGACAAAATTTTGTATAATTATAATAACTTATATATGTTTCTACAAAACAAATGTGTATGATAAAATATTCGTCCTATATTTAAGTATCCACAGAAATGTCGCATCTGAACATATTAATTTCATAATCTATATTCCATGACACGAGATGGCGTCTTAGGAATAATTTGTTTTATTATTGTATAATATTTTTTTTAATTGATTAAGTATCTTATTAACCGATGAAAAGTAATTCCATGGTTTTTACTGACTTTTCTTGAATTATTTGCATATCTAAGTACACACGACGGCGTATTTTTATCAAGAATTTTTTTTTTAAATTAACACAACACGTGATAACTTTACAAGCGCCTAGCAAGTGACTGATTAAAGTGCGGTGTATGCACCGCAGTTGAGTGGAACAGAGCCACGTAAGATGAAATTAAGTAGAGTCCACTGCGCATGTACAATCAAGCAGAAAAATGAAAATTTTATTATGGCATTTTAATATGTAAAATGTCAAATGTCAACATTATAACTACACATCAAAGTCCCCACGAAAACTGAACGATATATTTATATATCATCGTTATGTTTTAACTGCTTCTAAATAATATTCTGCATTTTATGTACACTTAGTTAAAAAAATAAAATATTTTGTATTTGTATTTGTAATTGCTGTTTAAACTATACTATGCGATAGCCTTCGATTATAAGGATATATCACACGCAATAATTTGCAAAAAAAATCATCTTGTAGAAAATAACAAAATTTTTACAACTTTATACAATATACTACGAACTACGCTATTTTAAATAGTCCCAAAATAATTTATAAAGTAATAAATATTTGCACACTATTTGAAAATATTATAGAACAATATTTTTAAAAGTATAAAAATAATCGCAAAAATTTAAAATTTTATAACAGGTAGTCGCTAACACTTTCGATATCGATAGTACACAAGACGACACAAGAAGGTGCGCTGGCGACGGGACGCGGGAAGAAACTATTTGGAAGTAGCGCGCATAGATTACTGTATATTGTCGCCTCTACACGTTGGCCAACACAGTGGCGAATGGAGTGGCGAATATATTGGCCGAGAGTTGGTGACGGCGTCCACACGTTGGAAGGTCGTTCAGTTTACTTCGGTTCGGGCCAATGTGCGGACGAATTTATAATCACCGTGGCGCAGGGGCTCAGCAATGAGTGGCTGCACCGGGCGCCGCGGGTTAAATCTCACGGAACAAGTATTTGTATGTCCTAAAAATAATTGTTTCGGGTCTGGATGTGTG